ATCCCTACAGACTCCAATCTGTTCTCCAAAGATTTGAAAAACCGAGGGAACTCACTACTCAAGATTTACAAAGAGAGATTAATAATCTCAAACAAGAGGTACAGGCGTTAAGATCTGAAACTAGGTAAGAATCTTATATGCTTCGTCAAGAAATTTTCAATCTTCGGGAAAGGCTGCCCGAACAAAGGGAAACGGCGCAACCAAACCTGGACGAAGAAGATTTTCAAAGTTTCTTCGTTGGAGCCATCACCACTTCTCAATATCAAAAATGGTACGCTCTCATTACCTTAAAAATTTATGATTTCAAAATCACACTAAAGGCTCTCATAGATACTGAAGCCGATCAAAATTGCATTCAAGAAGGCCTAATACCTACAATGTATTTTGAAAAAACTACTGAGGGCCTTAGAGGTGCTAACAACAACAAACTCAAAATTAATTACAAACTATCAAAAGTTCATGTTTGCAATGATGGAATTGGCTTCGTAAATTCCTTCCTTTTAGTAAAGGACTTAGGACAAGAGTTAATCCTAAGTACCCCTTTCATTACTCAATTATATCCTTTTAAAATAACTAAAAAGTGGTTAGAGTCAAAGGTGTTAGGAAAGACGATAAAATTTAATTTCCTTTTGCCCATAAGGATTAGTGAAATAAATAACCTTCAAAAGAATACAATTATTCAATCAATAAATGTACTAAATTATGAGGAAAAACAAATTTCTTTTTTAAAGGAAGAAATTTCATTGAAAAGAATAGAAGAACAGATTCAAAATAAGACTGTCGAGTCTAAAATCAAAACTTTACAAACTCAAATAGAAATAAGATTTGTTCAACTATCCCTCATGCCTTTTGAAATAGGAAGCAACACATAGTTGATCTTCCTTATGTCAAAAACTTCGAGGAGAAAAATATTCCTACGAAGGCCCGACCTATTCAAATGAATAGAGAATTACTAACATTCTGCAAAGCAGAAATCAATGATCTTTTGCAGAAGGGTCTTATTAGACCGTCAAAGAGTCCCTGGTCATGTGCGGCTTTTTACGTCAACAACCACGTAGAGAAGGAACGTGGAGTCCCGCGACTGGTAATAAACTACAAACCCTTAAATAAGGTTTTAGAATGAATTAGATATCCAATTCCAAATAAATCAGATTTAATACAAAGAATTTCAAATGCAAAAGTATTTTCAAAATTTGATATGAAATCAGGATTTTGGCAAATCCAGATTTCAGAAAAAGACAAGTATAAAACGACTTTCAATGTCCCTTTCGGACAATACGAATGGAACGTTATGCCATTTGGGCTAAAAAACGCTCCATCCAAATTTCAAAAGATTATGAATGATATTTTCAATCCTTTTCAATTGTTTATAGTCAAAAGAAATGGTTTAGTTGTGTCTAAACCAAAAATTAAACTTTTTCAAACAAAAATACATTTTCTTGGATTTGAAATTCATTTGGGTCTAATTAAACCCATTCAAAGGTCCATTGAGTTTGCCTCAAACTTTTCGGACCAAATTACAGATAAAACCCAACTACAAAGATCTTTGGGATGTCTCAATTATGTGTCTGATTTCTTTCAAAATATCAGACCCATTTGCAAACCACTTTTTGATCGGCTCAAAAAGAATTCAAAGCCCTGGACTGAAGAACACACCAAAAAAGTCCAAAAAATAAAATCCCTTGTCAAGTCAATTCCATGTTTATGGCCGATAAACCCAAGGGATAGTTTGATAGTGGAGACCGACGCATCCGATATTGGATATGGAGGAATCCTGAAACAGTCCCTTGACAAGAAAGAATCCATTGTCCGATTTCATTCGAGAATATGGAATTCTACTAAAAAAAATTACTCACCAGTAAAGAAAGAAATACTTTCAACAGTACTTTGTGTACAAAAATTCCAAAGTGATTTAATTAACAAAAGCTTTATTATCAAAATAGATTCTAGGTTATCTAAATTTTTTTTTAGAAAAAGATGTCAAGAATCTTGTATCTAAACAGATTTTTGCTAGATGGAAAGCCATTTTATCTTGCTTTTACTTCCAAATTTTGCCTATAAAAGGGGTCAAAAACCCTTTGGCAGATTACCTCTCAAGAGAGTTCATACTCTCAAAGAAAGACTCTCCCTAGCTACTCTTCCATCTAGAGATGACCGAAAAGAAAACGTTAAAGAAAGGAAAGAAGCCCACTGCTTCTTCGAAGACCCCTACTCCAATGACATCCGACAGCTATGCGATGGATGCTGGTTTCACATTGGTGACCAGATCTAAAGTAAGGCTTTCTAAAAAACAGGCGGAGGTTATCACTCCGACGAGGCCTTCTGCCTCTTCAACACGGCCATCTGCCGTTACTCCATCGAGACCTACTATCTTTTCCACTTCAAAGGGACCCTCTGTCCCCTCAACCTAATCGGACGCGGTTGTTCCCGTTCGATTCTCTCCAGTTCCTGAAATCAGGACCTATTTTCAAAAATCTATGTCTATACCAGAAGATCTGATAGAACCAGAATACGACGACCCAAAAATCGGCAAAGTCGTTAAAAAGGCCTATCCAACGGGATTCTTTTATATCCCAAAGTCCATTGAAATTACTCATATCCCGAGTCGCGATGGTCCTTCGAAAATCGCGTATTCAAAATTAAAAATTTTCATAGTCATGAACCCGACGTATTGAAATCAAGATCCATACACGGAGAAGACCTTTTCAAAACCCTTTGTTCTTCATTCTTACTCATACAGAGATTATCAGATGGCATGGTTCAATGTCATTTGGTATCAAAATTACGAGCACTCATGGTTTATTCAATTATGTCAGAATGCTCATAAAATTCACTACCCATTTTGGTTCATGAAATGGTGGAAAATCTTTGGATCAGCCAAAGATATATTTCCAGTTCCAATATAGGAATCGTTCCACTACTTCGTTCAAAATATATTCAAAACCCCATTTCCATTAACCATGCGCTTTTGCGTATACTTCCAAATTTCTTGGATTTTAACTTGGAATTTTCAAATTAAAGAAACCGAAGACCAAATAAAATAGGTCTTCAAAACTATCATACAAATGGTGGGATAAATATACTTATACCCACGCAGGCATCAAAGCGGTAAAGGTCTGGCTATCTAAGAATGGCCACCTTCAGGATTTATCCAAGAAGAGGACCTCCGAATTCCTTAATTCAAAGTCGAAGCTACTCGCTGCATTAGCTCAGACAACTTCTGAAGCTAATTTTCAAAAGCTTCTTCAAGAAGCCGCATCAGTCGGTTCGACGTCTTCTCCTTCTATTGTAGAAGAAGAAGATGAAGACACAATTTATATCTCAATGATCCATTTTTGGATTCTCAACCACCTTTGTAAATATCATCATCTCAATGACTGAATAGTCGTTAAACTATTTTAAAAAAAAAAATCGTGAGTGGTGACATATTCCCACTTTACTTCTTCAACTTTCCATCTTTTGGATTTTTATTTTTCCTCTATTATTGATGTATCTTTTCCTACTCTCATCATATTTTGGATGAATAGGGTCTTCCACTTTCATTAAGTAATTGATGTAAAAGAAGTTCCTATTTTCATTGTGAAATTGTGAATATGGAAAATGTATGTAATTACATGTAAATATATGTATTAAATGTTTTAAGCTAGGGTGACAGAGCTCATGTAAATTGTAAGGGCTCAAGTCATTAACCATAGGAATGGTATCAGAGCCACTCATTTTTTGTGAGGAAAGAGGAGTTACTCGATCTTTAAGAGCGGTGTTGCAGAAACTAGGAGGATGATAAGAAAAATTCAGAAGAATTTAGAGTATGTGATAGTTGAGCGAATAACCCTTGTGTTCCAGGTGTAAGACGCGAGAAGCGCAGTAAGTCCGTTAGCAAGCTTGGGTGCTTAGTCATATGAAAAATTATGAAGAAAATCTTATCTACATCCTGACAACTTCATGACTAGCGACAAAACACAAATGCATGAAGTGTTTTAAATATGAAATAAAGAAAATCCTTAAATTCCAATAAAGTTTTTGGACGACAAACAAACAAAACAAAATAAATTTCGAAAGTATGTAAACACAAAATAAAGACTGGACTGACGCCCCGGGACAACCCGTTCCTCTGTGACAATCCCCGTCTCCATCAAGCCCGCCCTTGACCGAGGCCTCGCGCTCCTGAAAAAAAAAAAAAGAAAACATAGCAAGGATGAGTATAAAAATTATACTCAGTAAGCCACTACTTGTAGGCTCTCTTCGCATCTTAGTTTAACAGAATTCCCACAGTTTCCTACATCGGTTCTAGGACATCTGGTTCTAATCTTAGTCCCTTGGGGCTTGCCCCTTGGGTTTCAGCGGTTCATCGTCCTTTCATTAAACGCCTAGAGGTTCCTTACGCCAACCTAATGTGGTCGGTATCTCTCTATAAAGTGCTACCTCTACATGGCTATCTGGGACTACATGGTATCTAGCCTAGGGGTGTGCTGAATACCCCGACGCCCATATAGTCCCCCTATGGGGGGCGCGACCCAACCCGTTCCCATGCAGCTAATGGGCTGTACGACGTGGGGACACATTTCCTATGCGAAATGGCTAAGAGTAGTAAGGACTGATCAAGGACCCTTGGTCCTCCCACGAAGCTAGATACTGTTCTCACGCTAGCAATCTATGAACACTCCGAGGCACCTTCTTGCCTGGTAAACCGTTAAGTTCCTAGGGGAAAATTAAGTCTGGCTGGCACTAATTCCCTAAGCTTATCATAGAAATGGGCCCTAGCAATTAATAGAGAGTGCATGCAATCGTCTTCTAACATCATACTATATAATTCATGCAAACTAGGCATACCGGCTCAACGGGGCAATGACCTCCATCAAGCACCCAGAGCACAAATTTCACGCTCAATGGGGCACATTCATCCATCAAGCACCCGGAACACGGAATACACAATTCCAACATAAATTAAATGCATGCATACATACAGCGGAAGCATAAAGCATCCAGCAACACTCATGTAATTCACCTAATACAATCATAACAGTTAATCTGACCAATAATTTACATGGAGAGCTAATCTGAAGCAAAACTACTAGCATGCATGCAATCCAAGCGAATCCTACAAGTATTTCTTCCTAAATACCAAGTGGTGACTTACCTGGTTGACGCGTCCCCTTTTTGCTAGCATTTCTTTGCCCGTGAGTTGTCCAAAAATACTTATTTCTTTAAATTAGGTCCCTATTCACTTAAAAAAGTATTAGAACTGGAACCGAGAAAAAAATCGGACAAATAGAGAGCAACCGGGCCAAAATGGCTGTTCCACGCGTGGTCACGCACCAGCAGCGCGCTGGGGGTGCGTGGTCACGCGCGCGGGAAGGTGCCAGTCGTAGGCTGCACGCGCGCCCGCTTTCGTGTTGTCGCGAGTCGGCCGGTTTGGTTCGGCTCAGCGCGATCGCGTTTGCAGTTCGGTCCAGCTTGCAGGCGACACGTGTTGTCGCCTTGCTGGAGCTGCGTTGCTCCAACCTGACGGTCGACGCGTGTCCGGCGCCTGTCGCCGCCCTCTGCCGCACACCGGTCGCCCCTTTTTTTTTTCTTTCTTCTCTGTCCTCTGAAAACCGAAACACAATCCCCTTTTCTGATTTTCATATCTTTTGATCCGTAGATCGGATCATGATTTCTTCGACAAAGTTCTAGATCATGTTATGGGCTACGTCTTAGTATTTTTTTTGTAATTTTTGCTTGACTACCGGACGAGTTAAGAACGTCGGAAGTTCACTCACCATTCTCGAACGACTCTTGGATCTCCGCCTTCAGGTTGAGGTCTCGGCAAAACTTCTTCATAGATCATGCGTGAGTTGTTCCTAGGTGAAGATTTCAACATTTTAGGATCGATTCACGTAGGGAAGACTCAGATCTGAGAAATGTCGTTCAGAAACCTTACTTTGCAAAATGTTCTTAGGTCTTGACGGAGCGTCGGCCTTGCTAGCCTCTCAATTCTTGTACTAGTCTCATCTGAAGATGGATTCCGGTGGTGGTCCGTTAATATTCACGACTGACTCCTCTCTAATTTCTCTCTAACTCCTTCTTTCTTTTGCAGGGGATCTGACGGGGTTCTCCTTGGACCCCTATTAAGGCTGGAGGGGCAAAATGATATTTTTTCCCCCTAGTTGACTTCAGCTTTTTTATTTTTTTTCCTCCTTCTTCTCCTAGCGTTACAAATACAGAGAATACAGAAAGTACATTTTCAAAGCTTTGCCTGAGGGAATATATACAGCTTTATCTATAGTTTTTTACTATACTAGCTATTTACTATTTATGACAATTTACTTTATATGTCATTTACAAATATAGCTTTACTATGTATAACCGTTGACTCAGCTATAAATAAGCAGCAGGCTCCATAACCTAACAATTCACCAACTTGGAGACTTATCCAGTCAACCTAGAATTTCATTCTCAAACAATCATGAATATCTTCACTGCACCATACCAATTGAGGTCTTGCACAACCTCAATATTCCAACATCAACACATTTTGTCAACATGTTTGCTGAATTCTTTGCACTCTCTTTCTTCTCAATACACATCACCATCTTCCACTAACCTGCAAGTGAAATGGTATCGCCTTCCATGTTTTATCTTTAAATGATAGACCGAGTTCCTCGCCAACCTTATGACACTCTGACTATCTTTATAAAGAATCTTTTCATGCTGCTTCTTGCTTAATTCTTCCAGATAGTCAATTATTCATAGCGTCTTCTTTCCAGCTTCAGCTATTGCCACGTATTCAGCCTCAGTACAATGCATTTTTTAAGCCTAGACGTCCCATCATCCATGGCTTGCTCACACTTGGTTGTATCCTCCAACTGTAGGGCCTCCTCAAAGGGTTGTGGTTCCCTTTCATCAACAACAGATAGTGTAACGAAGGTACATACATATCTGGTACTCTGATAGTACTAGATGATCTTCTCAACACCAGTTCAGGTGTCACTTGCTCCACGGCGAATTCCTCTGCAGTAGTCTTAGGAGTTTCACGAGTATCTGCTACAACATCACTAGGTGAGTTTTCTTGCAACTCAAGCTCAACTCCCACTTGCTTCGTGGTCTTGGAACCTTGCTCCACATTTGGTTCCTCAACAGTAGTCTTAGAAGTTTCATGAGTATCTGCTACAACATCAATAAGTGAGCTTTCCAACAACTCAAGCTCAACTCCCACTTGCTTCATTGTCTTGGAACTATGCTCCATATTTGGTTCCTCAGCAGTAGTCTTAGGAGTTATGAGTATCTGCTACAACATCACTAGGTGAGTTTTCTTGCAACTCAAGCTCAACTCCCACTTGCTTCGTCGAACCTTGCTCCACATATGGTTCCATTTTCAACTGCAGTTTTTTCAATTCTCTAGCGGTCCTTGTGAAGCTAACTCGTTTCTGCTTTCTCATAACGTAGTTCTCACAACGACCCACATCAACAGATTTCAGATCTTCTAAAACTCCTTTCGCGGCCTGCGTCTTCATTCCTTTCACGCTCATATGCTCAAGTTTATTGTGCCATAGACTTGAATTTGAAGCACTCTCAGCAACAGCAGCTATGTTCATACACCCTACAGGGGTGTATAAGGTTCTAGATTTTGAGCCACGTGCTACCACCGTAGCACCCTTCATAATCTTCCACGAACTCTTCCCTAACTTTGTTGCATAACCTGTGCTGTTCAACTGACCAATAGAGATCAGGTTCTTTTTTAGACCACGAATATATCGGACATCCTTTAATGTCCACTGATTTCCTGCCAGAGTTTTTATGCAGACATCTCCTTTTCCTTTAATCTCCAAATCTTTGATGTCGGCAAGATACACCTTCTCGAAATTTCCAGACTTGAAATTCCGGAACAACTTCTTATTTGGAGACGAATGAAAAGATGCACCTGAATCTAAAATCTAGGATTCAATCGAACTGTCCACGCTGAGGATTAGAGCATCCCCAATGTTTTCAGCTTAATTTATAGAATCATCATCATCTCCAGATTTGTGATTCTGCTTCCTCTTTGGTCTTGTACAACCTATCCGAAAGTGACCTTTTTCTCCACAATTCCAACACGTTACGTTTGGTCTATTTGGAGATTTTTCTCGGTTCTTTGATTTTAATCGCCCATTATTTGGGCCCTTCGGTTTACTTCTTCCCCGTTGGTCAACACTGAGAGCACTACCAGATGAATTTCCAATTTCTCGTTTGTGAGTACTTTTGCTGAGAACTGCATCTCGAATTTCATCAAACTTTAGTTTATCAGATCCTTAGGAACTGCTGATTGCGGCAACAACAGTATCCCACAACTTGGGTAAACATGACATCAAAATCAATGCTTTAATTTCATCTTCGAAATTAATTTCCACCTAACTCAGTTGACTTATGATCATATTGAATTCATTTATATGATCCACAACAGATCCACCTTCAAACATCTGTAGATTGAATAATCTCCACATCAAATACACCTTGTTCATAGCCGACGGTTTTTCATACATATTCGACAGCGCCTTCATCAGATCTGACGTTGTCTTCTCCTTGATGATGTTAAACGCCACGTTTCTGGATAACATCAACCAGATCATCCCTAAGGCTTTTAGATCCTTGAGCTTCCATTGCTCCGTGGTCATGGTATCCGGCATCACTCCCAACAGGGGTTCGTGAAGATCTTTCTGGTACAAATAATCTTCAATCTACACCTTCCAGAAACTAAAATCGGATCCATCGAACTTCTCAATTCCAATATTTGAACTTTCCATCTTCACAGATCGTTGTGACTTCCGCCTAGCTCTGATACCAATTGTTAGGATCACACAACAACACACACACTCGATCTAAATGAACACCAAAGAATAGAATAGAGAAAATGCAAGGAGAACTCTGGCTAAAAGATTTATATTGATGATTTCAAGTATGTACGGTAAGAGAGAATACAGAGAATATAGAAAGTACATTTTCAAAGCTCTGCCCGAGGGGATATATATATGGTTTAGCTTACGATATTTAACTTTGCCAGATATAACCATCTACTATATATAACTATTTACCATATATAGCTTTACCCGATATAGCTTTTTACTATACATAGCTATTTACTATTTATGACAATTTACTTTATATATCATTCACAAAATATAGCTTTACTATGTATAACCGTGGACTCAGCTATAAATAAGCAGCAGGCTTCATAACCTAACATTATCGACATGTTTGGTAACGAGTTCTTCTTATTGTTTATAATAAAAATATAACCATGTTTGATAACGATTTTTTTTAATTAAAAAATATACTTTTGAAACTCATATGGGTATTATGGAAATGCCACTTCATTGTTAACAAATGAGGATACTATCTCATGTAGACCATTAGAATAGTCCTTGGGTTTTAAGCAACATGGTGACTTCCCTAACCCAAGAGGAGCTCAAAGTTAGCACTTTATTAAGCAATTAGGTTACTATCTATTGATAAACTTTAGAATGAGACCTTAAGCAACCTCATTGCGATCTTATGATTAATAAGTAATTTGGATGCTTCCCTAAATTAGAATGACCTTGTGGTGAGACCTTTTCTTTTAAGTAATTAGGAGACCACTTTAATAACATGTATTAAGTAAGCTTATCACACACCAAAACAATGCCAAGGCTCAAAGATTACTCTAAATTACTCTAAATTGTAATCCACCCAAAATTTATAATATGAAACTTCATTCTTCTTCAATGTGGCATGAATTGAAATATCTTTTGATAATTTCAACAATATTTTCTTCACATCTTCGTTGAAGTATATTGTATGATTGATGTCTCTTGGTTCATATCAAGTAGCCTCTACTGCTGTGAAGTGCTGTAAAACATGAGAAGAAGAAGAAACCTCTAATCTAGCCGCTGTTGATAACAGAAAGAAAAGAAGACCCAGAAGCATAGATTAGGGCAAAGAGGTGGACGTGAGAGCTCAAAGGAAGGGAACTTCCATTGAAAAACAGCAACAAAGCGAGATAACTCTCTATTTCCTTATTCTTTTTTCTTATTCTATCAATTTTACATGATTGAGATGCGGGTTCATCTTTTTAATTCAATTTGTATGGAGAGCTAAACTTTATAGGGGAGGTGAGAGACTTTTATATAGTTTAAGTATGTTGACGAAATGATTTTAGTTTATTAAACCGTTATTGTTAATCATTTACATGTGCGTTTAATTAGCTACTTTACATACATATGTGTTCTCTTATTCTGGAGAAGAGGAAGCAATGAAATCCTCCTTAATACTCTAGTTCCATTGCAAGGAGACTTGAAGGTAATATAAGGGATAGGAATAATTCTTCTCCTAGATCATTGTTAATAGAAATTAAAAACGATTA